CTATTTCTGACACTGCCACCTACCAGCACCAGCTTCATGTTTCACCAGTTTGCAAGGTGGTTCTCACACCCAAGTAGGGGCATCGGGAAAGCTCTGGACACGGTACTAGCTGGCTTTTCTCAGTCCTGTGCCCTGCATCTATATGTGTGCGCATGTTTATATATATATTATATATATATTTTTTATATATAATCTCCCATGTCTGGTCTATACCAGAAAGTCATGATTCAGATCATTGTTATGCCAAGCTCCAGTAGTCCCGTCCTGCACCACCTTCCACATGGAACGCGCTCCAGCTCTCCCAGCCCACGCGCTGGTCCTATCTCACAGCCCTTGCTGATGGGCGATCCCTGCGGGTGGCTACTGCAGAGCAACACGTTGAACCAAACGCAGAACCTTCTACTCCATCTACCTAGGTTGAACTGTAAGTATTTTTCAAGTTAAACCCAAAATAAGGCCAAGTCAGAAATCTTCTACTGGTCATGGAAAACCTGCAAGGATTTGAGATCATCCCTAAAGGGACAGGTCTCCCCATCCCCCTGCTCTGGGGCAAACACAACCACCCAAACACGGGCAATTTGGGCTGTCTGCTCCCAGTGCAAAGAGCCTGCCCAAACCAGGGAGAAATGGTTCAGATCCGAGAAGCAGGGATGCCTAATGGAGGGGCTGAGGAATAAATCCCATGCCCTAAGGAATAAATCCCAGGGGGGAACTGAGGGCCAGCACTAATTACCAGCCCATACAGGCTTGTGGGCTCTACGTTGAAGATCCTGTTATGCTGGAATACAGTSAGGCATGTTATTGCAAGCAAGCAGCCAGCCATTCATGTAAACAGCAGAGGGATAAAAAAAATGAAAAAAAAAAAAAAATTGTTTTCCCCATCACTTTTTCCATTAATTCTCATTATTAAAGTCCTAATTTATAGTGATATTAGAAACCTAAAGTTCTCATTAATTTTCCTAGATTTCTTAAAACAAACTCAGACTGCAGAGAACAACAGACCAAACACCTCAAAAAAATAGCACAGGAACTTGCACAGCCATTAGGCTCTATCCAATTAGGCTTGGTTAATGAGACTGGGACAGTAGACCAGAGCCAATTTTCCAGCAGATTTTCTGTTAAACTCATCAGCTACCTGCTTTTCTCCTCTTGCTCCTGAATACAAACCTCACTCCCCTCTGCTCACAGCCTGCTCCAGCTGAAAACACCATTTAGTTGCACCAGTGAGAAACAGCCAGAACGGGCAGGCCGTGTCTCTTCGAATGGACAAACCCCACTTGAACCTGGTGGAGGAGAAGACAGAGGAATCTTTCACTTATACATTGCTACCCAAGACCACATCCTGACTGTTTTGCTGTCCCTACCTTTTTCCATATTTTTCTTACATCAGAGCAACAGAGACATCTAGAGATGGCAGACGGGGGATTGCAGGTTTCTGGAAAAGCAGTTTCCTGGATATTTCCAGAACAGGCAGCCTGGGGCGATCCCGTAGATGGGACCACAGCCGCCTCCTTCCCATCCAGCCCCGCCAAGGCACCAGCAGCCTCCCAGCTCTGCATCCAGCTACGAGACTGGCAACACATGGCGGCGTCCCRAGGACCAGGTCAGTTACAGCCAGCGACACCCCATAAATCTATGCCTGAATATTTCATATTCTCTGCAGGGAGACTTCCCAGAGACTTCCAGGTAAATCACAGGAGCTGCAGGAACCGCCAGCTTCCAGCGAGGCCAGAAAGCCTAAAGAGCAAAGTCACTCCAATTTCATATTTTGCAAGTGATCCTGGACACGTCCTTCATTTTCAACCAAGTTCCAGAACAGAGGGAACCAAATAACATCAGGAGGTTGAAGCGCACGACTGCTGCACCGCAACTGAGTGTTTTGCTTGTAGCTAGGCACCAGATATTTGTATTTGCTTTTAACTAAATCAAGCAGTAAAACTGTCATTTAGTTGACCCATTTCTACATGCCTACAGCCAAACTGATGAGAAAAGTCAAAGTACAGCCCAGAAGAGGTAGCACAAGCTACCTATTCACCGAAACACACACCAAATCCATATGATTTTACAGAATATTTAACAGAACATTCAAGGTCCACTTAAACAATATTTTATGCTGTTACAAAAAACCTGGAGCCAGGTTTTCATTCTGCTGATCTTGAGCATCCCAGCACTAAAACACGTTTAGCTACAGTGTGCCACAAGTGCCCCATGGTCAGCCAAGAAGGAACCACCCGCCTCAGAGGGTCCTCGCAGGCCACCAACCACCACACCTGGCAAACAAGGGAGAACAGGATTCAAGGACACAAAATGCAGCAGCAAAGTCAGCTACATTTAGTCTACCAAAGAAACCAGACAGGCATTTAAGTCCCTCRCTAGGCTGCAGCTCTGCTCACGGAGCAGAGGGGCCAGCAGCGGCTCCAAGCCAGGCGGGCGCCAAGCGGTGCCTCCAGGACGCCCCGCACTAGGGCTGCCTGGATCTCCCTGGCTCGCTCATCTGCTGCCACCTCTCGACACTACAGGAAACAGGCTTTTCTCCTGCTGCGCAGCGGGTTATCCGCTCCTTTTGGCCTGTTCCTGAAGAATGGCACAAGCAGTGGTGATCCTATGGAAAACCACCACGGGGTTTCCAACACATCAGTGGTTCCAGGGTRCCACCCGCCCACCAGCTTTCCCCTTACGATGGCTGCCTGCTCTGCTTGGAGGGGATCGTCCCCAACACCTCCCTCAGCTCCACAAGTACCAAGCCTTCCAAAGACAACAAATGGAGGGGTTAAACACACGTGAGAATAAGAATTTCAGTGACCCCCTTTAAAGCAGTTGCATTGCTGCATTCAGTCACTGTCAACCTCGTTTCGCAAGTTACCTGGCTCTCCAGAGGGCAGCCGTGGTCCAGGGATGCAGACCTTCCTCATCAGCGAGCTGCAAACTGCCCCACACTCAGAGCAGGGCTCACTGCAGGACTTGCTGGCGGCATTTGCTTCCACAGCAGCGCTCCAAGCCTGCAGCTAATGCTGCACTTGTTAGAAGAGGCACTTGTGTGCAAACAGGGCCACTACCAACATYCTGAAAGGTGCAAACCTTCGCACTGACCCTCTTCTGAACCCAGAAATCCTCCTTTACTTAGAGGAGGATTTARTTTTTCATAGGAGCTGACTATTCTAGGAGCAACACCAAAACACCAAGCTGTTTTCCACAATGCACACACTGCTACAGCTTTCTGAATGAGAAGGCACCTGCCCCAGGTACCCTTTAAAATCTTAAGCACCCCAAAGTCATTCTTTCCACTGCTCTCATTTCTTTTTACTAATTTTGTGAAAGTTATCGGGTTGGCTCCAGCAGGACTGCAATATTAAGCAACTATTCCAGCTCATAAACTGACATACTTGCCTATATTAGGGTCATCATAATGTGTTTTTAAGTATTACAGCACTTAATACCCATACTACAGGTAAAGTGTACTTGGGTACTGGAGAAGAGCAATGTGCTTGATCTCCAAAACTGGCTTAAAATATGCAGTAAAATTACCAGGGAACCTGAGGTCATAGTCAATTCATACAATGGAAGCCTTTCTACAGAGCCAGTGGTCATCTTCCATCAGGTATCTGGAACATGTGCAGTACCCAAGACTAATACAAGCCAACATTTTTTTTTTTTATATATATAAAAATGAGCAACAGAAGCATGAGGTGATCCTCAGGCTCTTGTTAATGAGATGCAACAGCTCAGCTTGTGGGTATGATCAGAGCCCAATGCTGCAGACCTATCTCCATGGGGAATGAAAAACATTTCTGTGAGTAGTTCAATTGAACAGTAAATCAGAAAAAGGGAGCTTAGACTTTAATGCAAAGCTATCGAGGCAAGAGGGAAACCGGCTTCTCAATACTTACTCTCCTCTCAGTCTTGTTGTGACTCCCTTTACCATAGGGCCCTCAGATGCACCACCTGAATGGATTAATCCTTTAATCATTCCTTTGCAACTCCACTTGTTCATAAGAGCACATCTACCTGTCTTTAAAAAAAAAAAAGTGATTTTCCCCATAAGAAAGCATCTATTTAACCTGTTTCCCTTTATCGAGTTACAAACTAAGCACTTGTAGGACTTTGTGCCTCAAGCATTTCTGTCCTCAAGACTCTCTCAAGTTTTGTGATGGAAGTAGCACCTGCCAAGGCACAGTAGTTCTAGTCAAGCTATTTTACTTATGAACAAGGCATCAGGAAAATTGTTTCCAAGTGTTCATATCAAGGAAAATTATAAATTCATGATAACAGCTTTAAAGCATGTTACAAAACGCTTAACATGTTGAGTTTTCCTATGGACTTTCCTAATAGACTCCAAAGCAAACAAAAAAGGTAAGGAATTCCCAGCTGCCGCTGAAGGGTAATACCATCAGCCCAGAAGCTTCTTTCCCCCTTCTCTACTGTCTCCARGTAGCTATTTGTCCAGTTACTTGCTCCAAGTATTCCACTGAAAGAAGGTGTTGATTTTYCTGTCAAAAATTCTATGCTCTCATGTATATCTAACATGTATCAAGTTAGATACCTAAAAGGGACTGACAGCAAAATACTAGACATTCACTGCTTGCTGGTTCAGAACTCATTACTCACTTGCTTCAAATGGGATTTTAAAAGATCCAGGACCAACCAGCTAAATCAGAGCACTTACTCTGTACATGATTATCATTTCCCAGAAATATCTAACTAGAAACTTGAGAGGAAAGAAATGATAATACACCTCTGTCCTTCAGTTATACCCTATTAAGTTTTCAAAGAAGTTTGTGTGGCCCAGAAACAAACTTCAAACATCTTAACTAYTCCACAATCCTACAACTTTTTAAATAATCTTAAACCACAACCAAGAATAACTTCTGGGAGGGCATCTTCTATTATTCAGCCTACAAGCGAAGCACTGGAGTTGCACATGTTTAAAGAGACATTTACCTGAGAGTTGACCCAAACATAAGACAGAAGAACACACAGCTTACAATTTCCCTAACTGTGGCTCTTTTGTATAATTGACTATAATCCATTCAGAAGAAAACCAGGTCGATATTAAAAATCTTATCATTAACAAATAAAAGTTGCAATCACAGATAGTGTAGAACCCAAACATCCGTGCCAAGTCCTTATTTTGCAATAGCTTGCGTGTGAAACAAAGTCAGAACTTTAGCATTGTTAAATAGCTGTCTGTTACAAGCATTCTTGCAGATACAGCTAGGAATCATTAAAATATTGCTTGGAAACACCACAGTCCGTTTGAACAATTTATTAGAATCCTCTTTTACAAGTTTTAGAAAAAGAATCCCAGGATTTTGCCTCCTGTGTGTTTTCGCCTAGCCTCCTCGTGGTCCATGATGCCAGCTGAGGTTGTCAGTACTATGTACCTATTGAGAAAGAAAAAGTGCTCAGTAATTTAAATTTTGTCCTATACTCATGCAGACTCAACAGCACTTTACTTTTGTATTACAACAGTTAATATTTATTAAAATTTGCGTAACGTAACTTAGGATTGGGCTAGCAAACATCAGAAAAGGAGCGACACTTTTCACAGAGTAGTTTTGAAGCACACAAAAGACATTCCTAGGCTTCAGGTTTACATATACTTGTACATTATTTTTCACATACATTCGTTCTGGAAAGTCACTTCAACCACTCCAGCACTACCAGGTTTATAGTTTCCAGACAAAGTCGGCTGCTGTTTTAAGCAGACATTTTTCTTCAGAGCAGGTATAGTTGCCATGGTGCCAGACAGCTTCCAAAGTCTGACTRCTTTTATCACTGCTTTCTCACTCAGTGTTTTGGATGCAGCTCACTGCAATGTGGATGGGTCTCTGTGCTGACAACTAAAGCTGCCTAAGTAATTTCTAATGCCAACATCCGAATTATCAGTGTATTTCATCCACAGTTAGATTACTAAGAACCTTCTGTATCACCACTCTACAAATACACTTAAAAAAAACTACTCAATATGGCACCACATAGCTACAGGAACATCAGAACTAACTTTTAGACATTTAACAACAGAAATGACAGGAATTGTTAATCCTGCCTTTGACAGGACTACGTGAGCCGAGAGTCTTCTAGCTCTGTGCTTCTCATACACTGCGATTCATTACTCTTGACTTGGCGATATTTGGGAATGACCACCATACTGTAAAATAACAGGATTCTCTGTTTTGGAGGTTTAACARAATCTTTAAGTCTTGCATCACTTAACATCCAATTCATGCACTCCCAATGAGCATAACTACAGTAGCAAGACTTACTTCCATTGATATGTTACCCTAATTATTCACTCCCCACCTGTAGATGATTACCGGTAAAATAAAAGTCAGCAAAATCCAATAACTGTTTTCACCATCCCTGTTTCAGTGCAAGTCAAAAATAGGTCCTTACTAAATACAGCCACTTTAAAACTAGTTTAAAAAAAAAAAAAAAAAAAGGCATTTACATGGCAGGTGAAAAAAGTGTCAAATGAATCTAGCCTAGACAGTATGGAAGTGTAACAAAAAACTACTTCCCTACATTCTCTCCTCCATCTTGTTTTACATAAGGTAAGTATTTAACTCCTCTCCATACTCACCCAAACTGACGTGAAGGCAGCAGGTTGTTCTGCCACTTTTCCAAATCCTTCAGCTGAACATCAAATCTGGGACTGATTACACCACACTATAAAACAGAACTCCCATTACAAACTGAAAGACTTCATAAACTGTATTCATACATTTCTCATTCTAACTCACTGCATGAAAGAATTAACAGCAACTTCAATCTTTTTTTTTAATTGCCATCAAAATTCTAGTTCCAAGGAGCATTCTCCATTACCCATAACATGAAACAAATCTTTTTCCTCAGAGAAGTGAAGACTCTCAAACTGCTGAACAGCTTTTATTTCCTTAACCTTGTCTCTCCCCACTCCTTGTCTACATGAAGTTACTTATATTGCTAGTGAAGCTACAGTAACAATGTAATGGCTAGACGTGGAAGAATACAAAAGCATGCCCTACCATTAAAGATTAACATCCTACATTATCAAAAAAAAAAAACTATGAATTACCCAGGGATATATTACTTGGAAAAATAATCACATGTCATTAGCCAAAAACATATGGATTTAAAAAAAAAAAAAAAAAAAGGAAAAAAAAAGTCTTCATCTTTTTTAAGTTAAGTGTATTAAATATTCGCCATAACCACTACTACCATTTTCAGTTAATTTAATAAATATCTAGAACAAAACCAAAAGSTTATCTTCTGCACTGACTGATATTTTCTGGAATGAAGCTTTTTTTTTACTTCTACTACTAGAAAGTGTAATGTTCAGCTGCACCACTCAACATCATCTACGAAGTCACCAGGGGACTTCGTAGGAAGTTTAAGGAATACTGTACTCAAAACTGATATATGAAACCAAACAAAATCCAGGTYATCAGTGTTTTAGTTCTCTTCCTACTACACTCTAATTTAGCTGCGAGGTTTGTTCATCATCATGACAGTACACAGCATAGTTTAAAGTATTTTTTGATTTACTGAAAGAACACCTCTCACTTGAAGTGCTTACTTGGAAACAACCATACACTGCAAAGACTTACTGAACTAGACGGCCCAACACTTTAAGACAAATACACCAAAAAACAAACAAAGCCCACGACCAACCCAACTGTCAAGATGTACATAAACAGGCGAYATGTCCCAGCAGCTTAGGAAGCACCAGTTCAATTGGAGAATGCACCACTGAACCTCCATTTAGCTGCAAGCAAAGCCCATCCAGCAGCAGCAAAGCTTGTGGTCTCTCCATTTACAGGTATTAAGTATCAACAACAAAACTCAACCGCTCTCCATCAACAAAAAGATCTTTCAAATTGCTTAAAAATASAAGAAACTAAGAAATCACTTGTTAATTAAAATGAAAAATACAATGTACTTGCAAACTTGCAGTCTGTCTAGCAGAACTGTGGCTAGGCAAGCACATAATTTTGAAACTTGAAAAAATAACACATTAGGCTACTGAGAGCATCCATGCTATTCTACAGGTACATAAACGTGGAAAATACCATGTTCCTTACAAGTAACATTTCCAAATCTGGATAAAACAGTCCCAGATTTAATCAGTTTCCTAGAGAAATAAGCACAGCAAGACAAATCCTACCTTGTTGAGTCTGCCTGTGAGATTGACAACAATCTTCCCAGCTCTGTGATCATCAATTATCTCAAACTCACCAATGTAACCTGTAAGAGATTAGAAGGCAGATAAAATCAGATGTTTAACACACAGCTACATATGATTTGTTTTAATTAGGTTACACAAAACTTGTTCAAACAACTTCATTTARGCAAGTCTAAAAAAACACCTCAAAAAAAAAAATTCAAATAGCTTCTGAACAGTTTGGGCTGAACAGCTGTGAATCAAGTGCACCAAAGGACTGTTATACTCAGCTTTTCAGAATTTGTCTCATACCTGTAGAATCCTTTTAATACTTYTAAGAAGTTCTTTTCAGAATGAATACTGCAATCAAATAAACTTTCYCCTCCACACCTTACAGTAAACATCAAACTCCTCTAAAGGCACATATAYGTAGCTTGCAGAATCATTCTACAATGGCTATTATCACCCAAAAATTGTTAAAATCTAAACATAATTACACTGTCAGCCTAGCAAAACATTTGAGCTCTTCCCAAAAATTTCYTTCATTAAAGGAAATCAGGTACTACAGTAAACCAGTCCAAAAACCATGAATAAGTGCTCACTGCTACCAAACTCTTTAGAATATTGAAGGAACCATCTAAAATTAACGTACTGCACTCTCCTGGTGATCCTTCATAGAAAAAAAAAGGCCAGGTTTGTGAAGGTTGAACTTACCATGCTTCATCATCACAGTTAAGAACCGGACAATTACTTTGGAGCACGGCCTGATGAGAACTTGGCGTTTTCCACGTTTCTCTGCATTGTTGATGCTTTTAAGAGCATCGGCCAAAACGTTCATGCGCACCATGATGCCTGGYGGGGGGAGGAAAACACCAGCAGTTATGTATACCAACTATAATAAATATGCTGTGAAACACACTCTTTCTAATGCCCTGAAAGTTCTGACATTCTTACAAAAACTTACACTACAGATTAAAAAGCACTTTTAGCCTAGCAAATAGGTCAACTCACGTAAGCTGGTATGTCCAAAGGGGCTCATAATCACTGTAACAGCTTGGGACATCTGACATACAGCTGCTGTAACTCTTTATACGTACATACACACACACACGCCCAAGTTTAAAATATGCTACCTAGAAAACGTTTCACCAACACRGCAACTTTCCAAGGCGCATTATTAGGGGCTTTAAAAATCCCAGGGCACGAGCTGTGCTTGATGGCCCGGTGACCCGCGACACTAGTTACACCTGACAGGCGGCTCCCGGAGGGGAGCCGGGCACCAACTTGCGCGTCCCGTGAGGAACCGCGCGCTCCCGCGGGCCCGCGAGGCGCTGCGGGACACGGCGCTGCGCTGCCGCTCGGTAGCGGGGCGCGAGGGCGGCAAGGTGGCGCCGGGCTGCGCTCGAGTCGAGGGCCGCTCCTGGAGCGCAGCGGGGTTTCATCGTCCGCGCTGCCCCCCACGCGACGCTCGCCCCGTCAGGGCCCGGCCAGCCCTCCCCTGCCCGGCTCCGCGCAGAGCGGAGCCGCTACCCCCGCCTCGCTCCGGAGGCTCCCGGCAGGGCAGGTGCGGCCCAAAGGCGGCGGGCCGGGCCGGGCGCCGCCC